CAACTCCCAGAATTCCCCAGCCAGCATGCTGGCTGGGGAATTCTGGGAGTTGAAATCCACAGCTCTTAAAGTCGGCGAAATTGAGAAGCACGGATCTGGGGTCTAACGTTACCAAACCACATGTCTGCTTCTGGAGTTGGCTGGTTTCTGATGGTGCTTAAAGGCCCTGAAACATGATGTCCAGATGCACGGTGTCCCTTCTGCTGATCCCAAAGCACCCCATTTGCTTTCCTTCCAGCCATGCGCTCCTTCAACTTCAACTGAGCAGGACTCAGAGCGCTTCCCATCTGGGCTCCGCTTCCTAAGTTCATTTTTAACCACACAAAAGGACAGAACAATCCTGCCAGATGGCTGCCAGTGATGGGTGTTGAGGGAAGCTGAGCAAGGGTTTCATTCGAGTGAGAAAATCCCTCTCTGAGCTGGAGGGGAGGGGGACTCTCAAATAGATAGGGGTGACTCTTTCCAAAACAGATATTTCCCATCCAGAAGCCATGGATTGTTCCCCTTCAGCCTTCAAGGTGACCCCAAGGATGGAAAGACAGAAATCGAGGGGAAAAAATTGTACTTGGGAAGTGGATTAAAGCAAAAAAAAAAAAAAAACAGAAATCAGGAGCAGTGTGCAATTTGGTAAACATGACCTTAAACCACTTGGAGGGACTTGCTTCCTTTTACAAGATACTGATAGTATGTAACCCATTCCAGTTTGTTTGTCTGGACATGTTTCTAGTCCCTTGCATTACACATATTCCATTTTAAACAAGCAACAAGTCCTGCGGGGCGGGAATAGAAACAGGAGAATCAGAAATCAGGCTACGCTGGTGGCAGAACTGACATTTATCTCTCCCCATAAAGATTCCCGGGAAGCAGTCTGTTTTCCACCTGCTCTATTTCATTTGCACAACAGTCCGGTGAAATGGGGCAGCTCTGGCAATCATGATGAGACCAAGAAGGCACCCTGAACATCATGTCTGCAGGGAGCTTTGAACCCTTGGCAAGCCAAGCCCTGCCAATGACGACAGAGCTTTGATTTGGAAAATACACTTCTGTTTAATCATGCCCCTTTTTTGCCCCCAAGGCTTTTCGGTAAACAAGACCCGTTTCTGTCCTCCTGGCTGAGTTCACATGTGAGGGTTCCCCGTCTTCCCTAAATCCCCTGACTTCTCCCCAGGCGCTGGACCATAAACGAAGCCACCCAACTGGGATTCCCTATCCTCAAACCCATCCTCCCCGGCCGCCCGCCAACCGGGTGGCCGGCGCAGCCCCGGAGACCCCAGTTCGAATCCTCCCTCGTCCCGGCGCCGCAGGGGCGAACTGGGGTCGGGTCGCCCCTCGCCCACCGCGCCGGGGCGTCGCGCGGGGGACGCTTCGAGGAGAGGCGCGCCGGGCTTGGGGAGAGCCAGAACTACAACGCCCATGATGCTCTCCGGGGCTCGGCTCCTG